GTTGGGAAACGACCTGTTAGAGAGCAGTGTAGGGGAGAGGGACCTGGGGTTCCTAGTGGACGACAGGATGACCATGAGCCAACACTGTGCCCTTGTGGCTAAGAAGGCCAATGGCATCCTGGGGTGTATTAGAAGGGGGGTGGTTAGTAGGTCGAGAGAGGTCCTCCTTCCCCTCTACTCTGCCCTGGTGAGACAGCATCTGGAATATTGTGTCCAGTTCTGGGCCCCTCAGTTCAAGAAGGACAGGGACCTGCTGGAGAGAGTCCAGCGAAGGGCAACGAAGATGATTAAGGGAGTGGAACATCTCCCTTATGAGGAAAGACTGAGGGAGCTGGGTCTCTATAGTTTAGAGAAGAGGAGACTGAGGGGTGACTTTATCAGTGTCTATAAATATATAAAGGGGGAGTGTCACGAGGACGGAGCCAGGCTCTACTCAGTGGCAAACAATGATAGGACAAGGGGTAATGGGTACAAACTGGAACACAAGAGGTTCCACTTAAACTTGAGAAGAAACTTCTTCTCAGTGAGGGTGACGGAACACTGGAACAGGCTGCCCAGGGAGGTTGTGGAGTCTCCTTCCCTGGAGACATTCAAAACCCGCCTGGACGCATTCCTGTGTAACATTATCTAGGTGTTCCTGCTCCGGCAGGGGGATTGGACTAGATGATCTTTCGAGGTCCCTTCCAATCTCTAACATACTGTGATACTGTGATATATTGTAGCCTCTGGTTTGCTGTTCTGATCAAATTAAGTGATCTAGGGGGTGGTGAGCAACTTGAATGTTGTAGCCAGGCTTTTGGAACTGATTTTGCACAAAACAGAAAGTCAATTGGTTAGTATTGAAAAGAGTAGTTTCTGAATTCTGAAGTTGCAATGAATGTGTTATGTTATACTTTGGGTTTTCCTAAATGCTTGCAGCTTCCTTCTCCCAGTATTTTATGCAGTGTGTGGTTTTGATGGCAAAAATGATGGAAAAACTCATAAAAAACAGACAATTAAAGCTCCTTTATTTTCTGTTAGTGCTGTTAGGAAAATATCCATGTGAAATTGCTTATTCTTATTTTCCAATGAGAAAAATAATATTATTGCTCACTTGTAGAATAACTGTAAATGATTTAAGAAGAAATAAGAGAATGGAGTTGAAGATTTTGTAAACTAAGCCACGTGTGATGTCCCCCTTGTAATGCTGAATACTTCTAATCTGTACAAATCAATTGCATCATAGAATTATAGAATAGTTAGGGTTGGAAAAGACCTTAAGATCATCCAGTTCCAACCCCCCAGCTATGGGCAGGGACACCACCCACTAAACCATGTCACCCAAGGCTCTGTCCAGCCTAGCCTTGAACACTGCCACTGATGGAGTATTCACAGCTTCCTTGGGCAACCCATTCCAGTGCCTCACCACCCTCACAGTAAAGAACTTCCTCCTTATATCCAATCTAAACTTCCCCTATTCAAGTTTGAACCTGTTACCCCTTGTCCTGTCGCTACAGTCCCTAATGAAGAGTCCCTCCCCAGCATCCTTATAGGCCTCCTTCAGGTACTGAAAGGTTGCTTTAATGATGCTTCATTTCTTAAAAGCAACAACAAAGAAATTACTTTTTGCTGCACGCAGACAGAATATTTTTTATAAATAAACCTGGGGGTACATTTAGGATTCTGGAATATAGCTGATAGGCTATAGGCTACTAATAGGCTTCTTAATGCCTCCTCCCTTCCTCATCCTTTTTTTTAACATGATTAGAAGTTAGCTATTTTTTGCAGGAAAAACAAGACCCTTTTCCACCTTTTTATTATTTAAGAAGTTATTTTTCAAAAAGCTTAAAAGAAGTCTGAAAGGAGGGCTTTTAAGTGAAGAATGAACTTCACAGTGGCTACAGGCTAATGTGAAAAAAAATTTCTTGTTTGTGTTTGTTTGCTTTTCTCCCCCCCTTAGGTAAGATATACATATCTTTCAATGTTTCTATGAACAAAACCTGTTTGGCATATTGGAGGCAGGGTACTGATGATATGATAACTTCCAGAAAACAGTGAGAAAAACCTAGTGTCGTGGTTTAAACCCAGACAGGTAATTCGTTCGCTCACTTCCCCCCCTTTCTTGCCCTCCCCCTGCTCTCGGAGGGACGGAGAGGAGAATCAAAAGAATGCAACTCCCACGGGTTGAGATAAGAACAGTTTAGTAACTAAGGTATAACACAAATCACTACTGCTACCACCAATGATAATAATGATAAAGGAAATAACAAGGGAAGAGAATACAACACCTCACCACCCGCTGACCGATAACTCGCCCCCCAAGCCCGACCGAGCTCCGACCGATACCTCCTCCAACCCTGGAGTCTCCCAGCCCTTCCGGCTAACTCCCCGTTACATCCTGGGCATGACATGCTGTGGTATGGAATACCTCTTTGGTCAGTTTGGGTCAGGTGTCCTGTCTCTGCTTCCTCCTGGCCTCCCCTCCCCCCTGGCAGAGCATGAGGCTCACAAAGTCCTTGGCCAAACCAAAACATCCTTGTTATCAGCTCTGTTCCCGAGCTGAAAGTCAAAACACTGCACTGCACCAGCTACCAAGGAGGAGAAAAATGACTGCTACTGCTGAACCCAGGACACCTAGCCATGTATTTCTGTGAAATTTAAAATGGAATACTTTGGATTCGGTGTTTCCACTTTTGTCTTTATGTAGGTTTTAAAAGCACAATTTAAGTATTAAATAAAATACAGCTACCTCTATTAAATATACATGTAAAGTGTATTTTCATTTGAAGCCAGTATTGCTATACAATTGTATCCCTGTAGAAAGGAATCCTGAGGCACAGTTTTGCAAAGATATTTATTGGGACTTGCAGAAAAAAAATCATCTGGTAATATCAAGTTGGACTTGATTTTAGTAATCTATAGTATGGGTTGTCATGTACGTATCTCAACAGATGTGTTGCGTGTTAGTAAGAATAGTCATAAATATGATGTTGTGAATTTAATGTAAGGTAGTTAATTAAACTGAAGTATTACATAAATTGAGAAATACCTGTAGTAAGGTAACAAATGGAAGGCCAGAGGGAACACTAGCATTATAGTGTTCTTGCCAATTTGATTTGATTTTGATTCCTCCCATTTTTAAGCTAAGGAAATGCTTGTTGAGAATTAAAGGTTATAACATTTTGCTGGCTTTCAAAGAACTTGTTACTGAAAAAAAATGTTTAAAGTAGTAAATTGAAAATAACTTTCTTATCTGCTCTTAGTTAAAATACCTTTTAACAGTCTCTAAATCTCTATGTCCAAACCCACCTATCAGTGCCAGAATACACTGATGAATTGTCCAAGTCCTCTGTAGTCATGTAATTAACACTAAGTGCTTGACCAGTCATTAAAGTACATAGATTGGTTTGTTGTCTAACTAGTTTAAATTTTTAGGTTTCCAGCTGAACATGTGTGGCCTCCTTTCTTGTTGGCTTTGGCTTGTTTAGACGAAGGTGTTTTGCATTTACTTTGAGATGTGGGAGGTAACACCAATATGCAAGCTAGCTGCCAAGGATTCAAATGACTACATTATTGCTTGAATGAAAGATTTTTTACATGCCCCTTGTGCTTGCTTGATAGTAACAATATCAATAATAACATTGTATATATAGTATCAAATAAATAATAAAATACTAAATAGTAAATAGTAAATAAATAAATATGAAGTAATAATTTAAATGCATACTAGACTTAAGAATTTTTTCTAGTCCTTAAGGAAACAAAAGGCTAACATTTGTGTGTGCGGGAAATCTACACAAAATTGCCCCATTTGGCAGAAGTTCAGCATAAGTGGTCAAGCATTTTCTGCAGTGTCTTCTCACTTGCATTTATGCAAAACTCTAAATGTCTCTAGGAGTTGTGTTTGGTTCTGTCCTATTCAATATGAAAACTAGTGAAAGACAAGGAAACTTAAGTTTCAGTGTAGTATGAAATTTTGGCCTTTAGGTGTTTTTTTTTTGTTTGTTTTTTTTTTTTTTTTTCTTTCTTCTAAGGTTATGAGTTTGCTTGCTGTTTGTCTTTGATTTCTGACTAGGTGAAATAGCTTTGCTATAAAGATGCTTACCTACTGATTTTGTAGCATTGCTATTGCCAAAGCTGGTGGGGATTCACCTTGTGAATCTCAGCTGGTAACTACAGTAATTCTTGCTAAGCTTGGGTGGCCATAGTAATGCTGTATGTGCTCATATGTGTGTGTGCCTAAATTGTTTCTGTTTCTTAAGCCTTTTTTTTTTTCCTGTACTTCCAGTGTGATAGGAAATGTCCTTTCTCACAGATGTGGAACTGATTACAATGATCAGAGCATTTCTAGGCTGGAACAGTAGAAGTCCCTGTGTCAGAAATGTCAATGAATAGCTGCTGTATGGCTTTCAATGTAGCTCTGCACATGTTCATTTTGACCTCTGGTTTATGTTAGAATGAATGAATTGTGATGTGGTTTTGATGACAGTTGAAGGTGTTGATTTAGTGATCAAATCGTCAAGAATTGCTTTTATTGCAAGGGTATTGTGAGCTACCCTCGGTGCAAAGCAGTTTCTGCTGCCCAGGTTAAGTATTTAGTAACTGAGGAACACAATTATGGAACAAATTTAATATATTATTTTTAAAATCTTTCTAAGAGGCTGGTTTATAAAAAAAAGATTTATAAAATCTTTTAGGAAGTGGTAAGTATTGCTTTTCTGGTGTGTGTGTGTGAAACTGCAGGTGATTTTTAAGTGTCCATGCTAGTGGTTGTGGTGCACTTGTTTATTGTGACATAGTTGGCTGTTTTTTTAGTCTGAGTTGCTAGGGAATATGGATAAGGATTTTCATTATTTTGAGTAACTAATCTATGGGAAGTTCTTTGTGTTACAGTTTTCAATCACGCATGTTTGTATTTTTGTGTCTTTATTGTTTTCAAGTTAGTCTCATAGTTAAACAACTGTTTCTGGATGACATTTAAAACTACATTTTTTTGTTTGTTTCCCTGCTTCCCATTCTAGGAAGATATGAATTTAAATGAAGACAAGAAGATGCCATTGAGAGAAAAGGATTTTAATACCAAAAAAGAAATGGTGATGCAATATATTAGCACTGCTTCCAAGTCTGTAAGTAAATGTTTGTGAAGTGCAAAAATTACTTAATGTTTAGGTTGTTTTCATGTTGGACAGGAAAAAATGATGCCTGCATATCACATTCTTTTGACTAACTCCTGTTTTTCATAGACACAAACCTTTTTAAAGGGCATTATCTCATTTTATAAGCTCCAGTGAAAAATACTCACTTGTACTTGGAGTGTGTCTTCTGCTACAGTGCAGTACTTCTTTTTGGTAAAGGTATGGCTCTTAGTGGAGATGGAAAGATTTTTCATAGAACTTGAAAAAGCTTGATGTGAACATTTTTATTTTCTAGCAATGTTTGGAAAGAATTACTTAAGTGGATATTCTTTTTCATTCTTGACTTCAGTACAGAGTTCATGTGATGCTATGAAATAGTTGCTAATGTGATTGTTTACACATGAACCCAATTAGTGTCCATTTTTTACTTATAGGAATAATGACTGGTTGTTCTAGAGAAATGCAAGGAGTTGTGTACCAGGCAGTTTAAAGATTAAATTGGCATACTTATATCTTACTGTCTGTTTTAAATGATGTACCTTATTAGTGTAATGCACTTTTGGGAAGGTAGGTGCCTAGTGCAGGAGTGAACTGTCTGGTCATTGTTTTAGTTAAGCTAAGCTCATCAAAACTGCTATTCCTTCTATAGCGTAAAAGTTCCTTAGTACTGGAAGGATCAGGATGTCAACCCTGTTTTTCTTTTTTAGAGATATTTCCTGGGAAATCAGGAAACTTCAGGCTAGTAAATCTCACAACATTCTTGAAGTTTCTTAACCTAAAACAGTGTGTCAAGGTTTATATGTCATTGGCACTGCAGGCCTCCACATGCCTTCTAAAATCTCAGCTGTTTCATCTGAAAAGTAATGTGACAATAACACATGGATGGCTGTGCAGAGTGGTTGCATCCACATCTGTTGCTGGAATCTTAGCATCCTGATGTTGATGTTAAGAATCCCTTTCTCAAGAGAAAGGTTTTCACGTTTTCAGTTCCTGGCATTTAATACTTTCAAAGAACTAAAGCCTATAGCAGAGTAGGTTTCTCTGATCCTTCTTTCTGAGTGCCATTTGCAATAAATAATTCTTTTGTGTCTTTGGTTGTCATCACACTTTTTATGCAATGGAGCTTCTTGTGCTGTGCCTGAAGCAGCCATACAAGGTACTCTACTGAAGAGGACAGGTCTGTTTCCTCTCTCAAAGTAGTGATTTGTTCCCACATGCTTTTACCTTGTATGTTTTCATAAAGCCCCCATAGCATTTTTTTCCTTTCTGTTCCACTCCTCTGCTGCCAGCATATGTATCTCACAGCTTTCTGCTGTGGGAGGTCAGTGAAGACTAATTTATGCAGGAAAACTCTTGTCTTCACTGAACTCTATTTCTAGTGTTGTTTTCTTACTGGAAATGACATTCAGCCATTGCGAAATTGAGAGGAGCTGTTTCTGTGATGCATAGAGTCAGCTGTTTGATACAATAGTGCTCCAGATCAACTCAGCTTTGTGCTGGAGCTACCGGAATGGGAAACTCCTTCACTTGCCCTTGCAACTCTTTGTTCCTGGCATGCTCTTTCCTGCCTCCTGTGCGTTGGACTGTCTGAGTGATTTCTGTCTAGAGAGATTAGTGCACTGCATGCCCAGGGTACTCAGCTAAATTTTGGTGTACCTTGACTCGATGGAAGTGTCATACTTTTCTGAAGAGCTGAAGAAGTTACTATTGCATACAATTAATCCCATCTCAGGTCTCTCTATGAGTGATGCTGCAGTAAAATCTGATAGTAGGTACCTCTCAAACTTTAAGTAGACAGGGACTCACCTGTATTGTGTTAGGACAAATATCCTCATTTGCAACTGCTATGCAGAGTACCAAGCACGTTTTATTTATAGCACTTATTACAAAAACTATTAAAATGAAGAACAGAGGCTGTGGCTCTAAACATCACTGAAAAGGAAGCGGCCTCTGGCGATTAGACTATAGTCAGATCTTCATCGCTGACCTCAGTGTCAGGGTTTCTTAGAAAAGCAGAACTCCTTTACAATATTAATAAATCACATCTCTGTTATTGATGCATCTAGAAATTCTGCTGGCTTTGGTAGCGCTGCGCTCAGGTAATTATTTAGGTACAGAATATTGTGACCTACCTCTATATGGTGAGATTTTGAGAATCATAGAATGGTTTGGGTTGGAAGGGAACTTAGAGATGACCTACTTCCAACACCCCTGCCATGGGTAGGACACCTTCTACCAGACCAGGCTGCTCAGAGTCCTGTCCAGCCTGGCTTTGAACACTGCCAGGGATGGGCTTGCCACAACTTCTCTGGGCAGCCTGTGCCTGTGTCTCTTCATCCTCATAGTGAAGAATTTTTTTCCAATGTGTAATCTAAGTCTGCCCTCTGTCGGTTCTAAGCCATTCCCTATTGTCCTGTCACTTGTACAGGCCCTTGTAAAAAGTCCCTCTCCAGATTTCTTGTAGTCCCCCTCTAGGTACCGGAAGGCTGCTCTAAGGTCTTCCTGGGGCCTTCTGTTTTCCAGGTTGAAAAAGCCCAACTCTCTCAGCCTGTCTTCATAGGAAATGCATCATCCACTTTGCTTAGAGACTTCTTAACAGTTGGCTGAAAGAATGCTTCTGTATATATGTCTGTATATCTTTGTCTGTAAGCTTGCTGTTACCATCACTCTTTATAATGTGTAGAAGAATTGCAAAGACTAAACAGTTATGGTGTTTGGGATGCTAGTAGTACTTGATGAAAAATTTTAATGATAGCAAAAGTTGTATGCTTGGAAGAATTCTGCTCAAGTACTTTAGTATACTGTTAGTACTTCCTGGTATAGCATTTAGGTGAAGCCTTATTTCTTCCCTTAAAAAGATTATCTTAGAGATGTATATTGCATATTGTGTAAACCATCATGGCTGTGAAATTTTGAATGAAATTTCTGTCTGCTGTGTTGTCATGCCTTACTTATCAGAGAAGGGAACAACAGTTGTGTTTGAACATTACTATGCAAGTGTGAATTCTCATCTACCAAAAGCAGTATGGTTCCATTTGTCTTTGGAGATTATGTCCAATGTATTTTCTGTGGTTTTTGTACCTGTTGGTATGCAGCACCACATTTTTAAGTGATGTATAAAAAATACAAAGGTGTTCCAGTCCATGTTATGGAGCTGATGCTCAAGTGGGAATAAAAGCAGCACTCCAGTAATGTAACTCTACCATAAGTTTTGCTGTTCTGTATGTTGAACACACACAAACTGGGTTGTTAAAGTGAGTTTTCTTCACAAGACTTTGTTTTTGTTTTGCAGCTTTTACTCCCTTGTAATGTTTTAACTGAATTAATTAATGCTGACTTCATACTGCATCTGCTCACAAACCAGTTGTTCTTCAGTTGAGCAATTAAATTTCTAGAGGCACTGATGCCTCAAGATATTTCCTGTTTCTCAGTTAACTGAAGCATTTTGAACTTAAGCAGCTTTTCCCATGGTGAAATGTAGTTAATATAATCAGTTTCACAATTGGTACCAAATGCAGCTCTCATTTTATTTAAGAACTGGCAGATGTATCATATTCTTATTATATTGCAGAACCTTAGCATAAGTATGAGTAAGTGGTACTTGGTACTGTGGGTGTGTTGTACAGACATTCATAATTCATTGGCATCTTTCGTACAGGGTAATGTTCAGGTGGGGAACTGAGCATGAAACAGGATGTCTGATACTGCCTGGATATTGATGTGAGACTCCATTGCTTGTGAGACTTCAGATAAATCAGAAGAGACTCTGAAATGTCATTCTAGTGAATTCTTCTAGCCTGGTTAGGCTCTTGTCTCATGGGACCTTTCTACTGCACACATTTCTATCGATTATATTAAATTACTTCCAAAATGTCTTCTGACCATCTTAACTATATGTCCTGTCCATATGACTATCCTATATGACTGTTTCTGCATCAAAGGAAAGCAGTCTTGCCTGCTTCTTGTAAGTACCTTAGTTGTATCCAGCTTGGTGAATTGTACAGCAAGAACTGCTGGAGGAAGTCATTGGAAATTAGATTCTCCACCCAGGATATTAATCCATATGCTTAGGCATACAAGTACTGCTTATCAACTAGTCCATGCATAGCAGGAGCTGCCAGGAGAATTTCTGGAACTTTGTTAAATTTCTGACTGGAGAGCTCCTGTAATATTTAGTTAAATACTTTGTCACGAGGGCTGCTAGGAGTTTGGTCATCTTGTCTCTAGTCAGTCTCATCTATGCAGAGATGAGCTGGGAAGATACAGGATTGCATGGGGAACTGTATATTCATCCAGGCACAGCCTTGAGCCCCTGTTACATCATGGTTATTACAATTTCTTCCTTGTATCACAGCTGTAACTCATATTCTTCTGACTGCCTCAAGAGTATATATTGTCTAGTCTTAAAATGTTTGAGAATTATTGTAACCAGATGGATGTGCTCAGTATTTAATCTCTTGAACAACCAGGCAGAATCCCTTGTCAGCAGTTCCCCTTAGCCAGTGAATTTGTAGTGTTTTGGGTAACTCATGGTGTAGTAGCTTTTACTTTTCAAGTTTTATCCAGTCTTTGTTATGAATGCTTTATTGTTTTGTTTAGGGTCTTCTACATTTGGCTTTGAGATTGCTCTCCAGCTGTGGTTTTGTTTATGTGGGTTTTTTTTTTTTGTTTGGTTTTTCATTCCTCTGTAGATATAGTTGTGTCAAAGCTGTAGGGGAGCTGAGCTTTCTTGCTTTCTGCAGGTGCAAGCAATTCTACCATCTTGGTGAGGAGCATAAATTATTTATGGAATAAGTTTGCCACCTAGATTGAGTTTTTTGAGGAGGTAGTGTTCTGTTCCTGGCATTACCAGAGCATATAGTTAACTCTTTGGACCCAGACAATATCTAAAGAGGTTAGGGTATGTTCCCTTGCTGTGGGGCCTGACTTGAGTATTATGTGGTTATGAACTAACACAGAACATGAAAGAAGACTGAAGCCAGTTGCCACTTGAGTTTTTTGTGTTTTTTTTTTTTTTTTTTTTGTCTGTGGGAACATTTGTTGTTATGAATCCTGTATTCTAAGGTTCCCTTCAACCGTCATCCCTTCCTGGCCATCTCATCTATTCTTTTGCGGAACATTGGAAGTGACTTTCATATGTAAGCAGATGAGGGTCTTCATCAATTCAGAGGCATGTTTGGAATTGCATTCTTTGTACGATGTGTTTTGTACCAAAACATAGCATGAGATGCTGTATTTTCAGAGTGGTTTCTGTCAGTAGTCTGTTTTTGTTGTCTGGAACATATGTTTCCTAAGTCTGAGGAAATACATGTGGAGCAGAGAGGTAATGAAGCCTCCAGTAGCTCCTCACTGTTCTGTTATCATAGTCATAGAATAGAATGATTGAGGCTGGAAGAGATCTCTAGAGATTGGCTTGCCCAGCCCCTTATCTAGTCCATTTCTTAATACCTCTCATAGAGGAGGCTATACAGTCTGCAGCCTGTTCCAATGCTTGACCAACCTCACGGTTAAAAACTAAACAAAAACAAGGGGGAAACTTTGTTTTTGTCTTATGTTTAAACAATTTCCTATATTTCAGTTTGTGGCTCTTGTCCTTTCACCGATAGAATTCCCCTGAGCCTTTCCTTGGGGCTAAATAATCCAAATTCTATCAACCTCTCCTTGTACAACAGCTGCTCATTTAGTCTTGCCCACAGCCCTTACTGGACTCATGCCAATGTGTTCGTGTCTCTTCCATCCTGGGTGAGCCCAGAAGTAGATGCAATGCTCTAGATGTGTCTCACCACCACTGAGCTGAGGAGCAGGGTCATCTCCCTTGAAGTGCTGCACTTCCCTATGGTCAACTTGTCATCAACCAGGACCTCTGTGTGTTTTGTTATGTTGTTTTGTTGTTGTGTTTTGGTTTTTTTTTAATACAAACCTACTTTTCAGCTGGCTGGCCCCAACACGTGTTTCTGCATGGGATTATTTCTCCCAGGTTCAGGATTTAGCATTCCCTGAAATTCCTTTGCCCATTTCTCTTGTCGAGGTGCTTCTGCTGTTGCAACTTCTCTTGCCAGTTTTTGACATGACTTCTCTGCTAGAAACAGTTTTATCATCTTTTACTTCAGGATGAGAACTTTTTTTTCAACACTTCTTGAGGATCTACCAAACAGAGAAAGCATCCTCTGTATAAAGCTCTGTATAATAACATAATGAGACTGCCTCACCATTCACAGTGGATAACGTCAAGTTGTTATGTCATTGCAAGTCTTAATTATTTTCAATTCCTGACTTAAGCCACTAGGTAATCAAGTATTATTTCATATCTCTCTTTAGTGCTATATGACAGAATAGTTGAGCTTCTATTCTCTAAAAAGGGGTTATTCCAGTGAATTAAGTCAGAGAATAGGTTGTATACCCCATTGTGTGCCTCTGTTTTTAGAATTTAGATATATTCTGCAGAAAATATATCTATCCTTCTCTTGTTGAAAATGGGTGTTAGATGGAATAGACTTGTTATTTTGAACCATCTACAAATTTTTTGTCTTTGCTGATATTTAAAAATAAAGGGGAGGAGGATACTCTTAATAATAGGGTCAGTGCTTCTTAGATTCCTCATTTTAATTGCAAATTATAAAGCTTCTTTAGTTCAATTCAACCATTGTTTCATTTACAACCATGGATACTATATTTCCTTCAGAAGAGTTATGAAGATCTTCCATTTATTTTAAGCAACGCTTGACAATACAGGTGCTATGATGAATCAAAGCCAGTGTCTTTCAACCTATAATGCTATAAACTACTTTTGCAGTGTTGCATTAACTTCCTGTTGCATTTTCATTTCTATCTTGCTGTTTTCCATGTCCTCATTTGCTTCCCCATCTGCCAAAAAGAGCAAAACCTAAAAAATAAGGCAAAATCCAAGCCCGAAGGTTGAGTTATATCCTTATGTTACTGCATCAGTAGTCATATTTGTGTTGTACTGCATTCTCACAGATGGCAAATACAACTGAGGAGCTGTGATTTATTTTTGGAGCTTTAGTGATTCTGAAGAAGTCTTTTTTTTATTACTATTATTTTTAATTTTCAAGTTATTTTGCTTTAGCTATTACAGCCAAAGCTAATCTGTTTTTATAATCCCAGTCTCATATACTCCTCATCTGGAGGACCTTTAAGGGAAAAGCCTTTTAAAAGAGTGTCTACAAGAACTCAGGTTTTTGTGGTAACATCCTGAGTACTCTTCGGTTGCACTGGTTCTTTCCTCTGTATTCTGTTATGACTGCAGTCGCCCTTCTGGACACGTGCCCTGTGATGTCTTCAGAGCACCTCAGAGTTGTTTTTTCTTCTGTTGAGTACTGAAAATTAAGACTCATAAACAGAATCCATTCATTACAAAAAATGCATTTCAGTGAGTGTGCATGATGATACATTTCTACATTTGATGCCTGCTGCTTTTGACTACTGATTATAAATCTGTTCATAAATTGACAACATTTAGTCAGAATTTAGCATATATATTATATGGACACACCTACAGGTTTAGGACTAAATTATATACCTATTTTCTCTCCCCCTCTCCCCCTCCCAGTTTTTTCAAGGAACAGAAATAAAGTTTAGCCATTACTAATCTATTCAAGTTCTATATGTGCCAAGTAAAATGTGAATGTATTTTCTGCATTTCAGGGAAGCCTTAAGAGCAGTCGAAAGATTTCACCCCAAGAGTTTATTCAAGACTTAAAATCTGGGTTAACAGAGGAAAGACTAGTCACTTGCCTAGAATCTCTTCGTGTGTCCTTGACTAGTAATCCTGTCAGGTAACATCATTAATACACATTGCAAAGATTAATTATGTTCTTTATTTCTTAATGAATTAAAATTAACGGATCTGTAGATGTATAGGTTTCAAGATTTTAGTTAATAAATGTATATGCATTAGTGAATGATTGTACGCTTTTGCTTTTAGTATGTATCTTCTGTAGATCTTTTTTCTGGTAGAGTTCACTAATATGTACAAGATAATGTGAAGAAAATGTAAAGCAAGTGTAGAGCAGAACAGTTCACTTTGTTTTGTGATCAAATAGTCATATAGCTAAACAGCTCTAAGTTATTTTTTGGTTTAATTGTGTGCTCCTTCTGTCCAGTGAGCTTTAGGCTTTCTTCCTTGCCTTCTAGTGATCTTTGCTATATCTGTGGGGTTTATCTATACAGAAGATAGTTTAGTTTCCCTGTGCTTTTTTTTAAAGAAGTCTAACTCTTCAGTAGTTATAAATCTAACACCGTTATCAATCTTTATGTGAAGTTTTGATTTGATCCATGCAGTTTGATTTGTAGATGCTGACTTTTTTTTTAATAAATTATACATTTATTTTTTTTTCCTATTCTTTTCAACCTTTTGTTTTAGAGTTCCTATTTAAGCCAGTTGTTGAGCACATGATTTTTGGAAACTGTTTTGTGTTTAGTTAAAAAAAATGCAAAGGAAATTTCAGGGTTGCCTATGGTGGGATGTGATTAAAAAAGGATTTGACAACTTCTTTCTGCATCTGGCCTAGCAGAGTTGTTGGTGTGGATCTTCTGTATGGGCGGTTGCTTCTTTCCTTCTATTAATTTGTTTTGGAATTGGATTATTTTATTTGGAATATGCAGTGGTTCAAGTAGGAAGAAACACGCCTTACATTAACCAGAATTATTCTGATAGAGGGTTTTACAGAAGATATACTTCTTCCAGGAATGGGAAACCAATTTTTGGTACACTTCGTTTTTTCTCCTTTATTTAAAAAGCGAAAAACAATCCAAATATACCTCACACACAAAAAAAATAATCCCAAACAACCCCAAAACAGAAAAACAAACAAACCTCACTAAGACCACATCCCTCCCCACCCCGGGGATAAAATTAAAAAACAAAACCCAAACCCCAGAGACATTTTGGTTTTTTTTTCATTTATTTACACATATGTTGATTTAACAAAAACTTTTGCTTGCTAGTACTTGTCTGTAAATAGAAACACAAAATGTGTGACAGTTGAAGTTTTAGAGCAATCTCTTCTCTGTTGTTTATATGACTGGATAGTTTTTCTTTTTTTGGATGGGATTCCGCTTTGCTGCCACTTTGCCACACACCAAAGGAAAAGTTAAACCTCCTCCTCCCAAAAAAGCCAAGCCCCATGAGCTTGGTGAGGTGCTAATTCTGTTTTCATTTTCAGAAGCTTAGTGTATTTTATGTCAAAACTTCAAAGCATGCTAGAAAGATTATGATGCATTGTTGATATCAAAGTATTACACTGATAGTTTTGAGAGCTCAGTTTCCTTAACTTATTGATAAAATAGTTCTAGATTGCAACACTGGCTTTACCCTTGTTCAGTGAAATATATACTATGGTAGGGAGAAAATTTGACAGTTGAATCTAAGTTCTAATGTGACCACAATTTATAATTTAACTTCAGTTTGAAGCATTAAGGAGAAAGAAGTGTAAAAGATCTGTAATGGTTGGATTGGAGTGAAACTTGTTATTAAGCTAATGGATATATGGCCTAAGAATAGCCCAGGATTGCAACAAGTAGAACAGTTCTGAAACAGTCTTCTGGTGCATTGAGTGATGCTGGAAAAGACTGGTAGATAGACCTCACTAGGCTTAAACAGAGCATCTTAAAATAGCCTTAGTAAAAACCTGAGTTCATCTGTAGGGCTTATATAGAAAAATAGCAAAAAAAGTAACAATGGCATACTGTTCTTCATAAAAAAAATGTGTGGCGTAAACATCTTTAAACCATGCCTCTTTCTTTCTAATGAGTAACAACAGTTGGTGTTCATTGGACGTACGTATTAGTGACTTTGATTTTCCTATTAGCAGCCAGACTTTTGAGTAAGAACTCGCTTTGGCACATAAATACTGAACTCTAGTCCAGCTGCTATAAATCCATGATTATTTTTAAGTCCAGCTTCATATCATGTGGACAATAAGAGATAATTGATGAGACTCTCGGATTTTATTTTGTGCACATATAATAAGAATAAATCTATGCTTTTTTTTTAACAGGATGAGAATTAAATTTACATCTAGCCCAGCAATCTTAACACCTGTGGGCTGTAATCTTTTTGACAATATATAATCTAGGGGTTTTTGCTGGTTTTCCAATTGCTATACTTTAACTTTTTAATCTTGTTGACATTTCAGTTTCTAATGCAAGAACTGGTTCTACAACATTGTTTCCAATTAGTCATTTTTATAAAATGTGTTTTTAGTTCACAGAGAAAATCTGAATTAAGTGATATTAAATAGTTTGGTCCTGGTACTTAGAAAAATATGCTGAAATCTATGGCCTACTGCAAAACATAGTGTTTATTTTCCATCGGTATAAAAAGAAAGCCTCAAAGGTAAAATGCACTCACTGATATAGGCACTTGATCATTCTCAACTGCAATGTGATAAAAAATGTCTTGTAGGGTTATCTTTAGGTCAGATTTGGCTGGTTACATCAAAACCAATTGACAGTTATTTGCCTAATCGGTTTCGGAACAAAGCACCCATCCAGGACGGACAAAATCTATTTTCATATATATTTACTTTTAGGGGCAAACAGATAAAGGCATCTGATCTGATTCTTTCTTCCTGTAATTTTTAAGTCCATTACAGATCTGTATCTCTCAGGTATGAAGAACTGTTCTAATCCCATCATAGGATTGAATCAAAGTCTTCTGTATTTCAAAAGAGCTATTGCATCTCCCTTGTGTTATTTCCAACAGAACAGCTTATTATTTGTCACTAGTAAGGCCACACCATTATAGGAGTATCTAAATATTCTGGTTACTAATCAAAAGTGGTGATACATAAGTTTTACCCAATGTGTACAATGGTCTGTAAATATGCAAAACAGAAAACAGTGCAGAGGCTGTAATACAGCTGAAGCAGCTGTCTCATGTAGAAACAACATGCCAAGGTCTAAGCTCACCAAAAAATAGCTTTGGCAATAGCTGAAATCTTAAATTTTTTGTTGTGTTCACTTGGAGACATTCCTACGGATTAGTATTTCAGGCAGCCACTTCTGCAATTCCTTTAGGTTTTTCCTGCCTTCCACTTATGGTTAGATCCTGACATTTACAGGAGATCCTGTATGTTGCTTTTCTCCCCTTCCTTTGCAAGGGTTTCTCAATTACAATTCTGTGCCAAAGAATGCATAATTGTCAATTTAAAAATTAAAATATAATGGCTACTGTAAGTATTTAATATTTTTAAGTCAAGGTTATCTAGTTGCATCTGTGAGTGGATGTAATGCCTCTTAATATTCCGTTGAGTGTCTGTTTGGGGTTTTAAATTGATCCAGTTATACTGCTCTTATTCTGACAATTCTCATTCATTGTGATTAGTCCTTTTAAATGTCAATTCTTTCTAATTTCTTTTTTTCTTTCTCCCTAGCTGGGTTGAAAACTTTGGCCGAGAAGGTCTAGGGCTGCTGTTGGATGTTTTGGAAAGATTGGTTGATACAAAAAAGTAAGGATCATTTCAGATAAAATTGTTAGCTTTTCTTAATAAGTAAACAGCATTTAATTACACTTTTTTATTTTATTTTTATTTATTCAGCCAAGACAAAGTTGTGAAGAGGAGTCAGCATAAGGTTATACAGTGTTTGAGAGCCTTCATGAATAATAAGGTAGGGGATTTTATTTAATCTGGAAATATAAATTACCATAGTTCAATCAGATAATATACATGTTCAATGGGTATAAACCTATGTTTAATCTGGAGAAAGAGGTATGTTGGTCAGCTGTTTTTTGAAGTCCTTTCTGCTTCCACTTTCTCTCCCTAGAAGTATACTGGGATAATAATGTGAATTTTTGATCCTGATGTCTGCCCTTATTACAGAGTAAGTGACCCAACTGGGACTTTGCTCTCCTTCAACTTTTTTGCTTGGGTGTTTGACAGACTTGAATGTCATTTGAAATATTTACTTGAGGGAACTGTCGCTGTCTTATACTAGATATTCAATACAGTTATTTGGATTCCATCCAACTCTCCTTACAACTGATTTTCTGTTGTTTAGTATGGATTGGAAAGAATTCTAGGAGAAGAGAGGAGCCTTCTCTTGTTGATCAAAGCAATTGATCCCAGGCAAGCTAACATGATGACGGATATAGTTAAACTCTTATCTGCAATGTGCATTGTTGGAGACGAAAACATGTAAGTAATGTATTTAGCCTGAAATAGTAACATAATTTTACAATATCCAATATTATAGTTATATCTGAATGAAAAGCAAAAGTTTTCAGCTTCAGAGTGAAATTAATACCTGTGCTATATTGTCAGTTTTCTGAACACCTTTGTCTCTGATTTTTTTTTTTTATTTTTTTTTTATTATGGTCATATCAATAAGAGTTTTCTTTTTGACATGTGGATCTACTGGTTAAATGGAAGTAGTTATGCAGCCATTCTTTTGATTGAATTTTTTTAGCATTACTTTTAAAGGTCCATTAACCACTGTAATCCAGTAAGTAATTTTTTGGCTATGGAAGTCTCCAAAGGAAACAAATAATGCTTAAGCCTCCTAAATTTGAATGCAAAAAATTTAGGCAGGTGAATACTTTAATACTCTGAATACAAATAAGAAATGAACAGCAAGGTTATATCTCTCTCCTGAAAGAAATGCTTTTCTTCTCTTACAGCCTTGAAAAAATTTTGGAAGCTATAACAGCAGCAGCAGAAGAAAAGAATGTTGATAGATTCTCTCCTATTGTAGAAGGCCTTCAGGATAACTCAGTTCAGCTGCAAGTAAGCAAATTTTTTTCACAGACCTCTGTAACAAGTATAATTAAAATCAGTTATTTTTCCTTACTGAACATGTTGTTACAATAAAAAGAAGGAGGAATACTTTTTCAAATGAAGGTCTAATTTCAAAATGTTGTATATAATGTTAACTTTTAAAAATGTGTCATAGGAAGATTCAGTGTTGAGAAACAGTGGAGTGTTTTAAGTTCCTTTGTTGATATCTATTTACCTAAATATTGCAGACTTTGGGACTTAAATTTGAATGTATATTTGTTTGCAAAAGATTATCTCACTTCTGGCAATATTTGCTGAAACTTAAAGATTAATGACAGTAAAAAAGCAAGTTTTTAGGCAAGTACTTTTTATAATCGATGTTTAAATCCGTGGGAAATCTGTCCCTCATGCCCACTTGATGATTTCATAAAATTGGAGCAGAGAATCTGAGGAAAGAAATCCCTCACCTTATTTTCAGTTTGTTTCAGTTTGTGCAGAAAGGCACAAAGTATTATGGTGTATTTGAGTGATGATTATAAATGATTGGTCTGAGAGTGTAAATATTTACGTTGTACTGATTTTCATGTAATTAGTTGAACTGAACACTGTTCATAATTGCCATTGTTTATGAATATTACAAAAATAGTATAAGATGAATCTCAAGTTAGAAAGAAATGATTGTGTTACTTCACTGTCACCTTGTATTAAAAAGTCCAAGTCTGACAGTAAAGATTGCTGTTTGTCTCATTTGTCTCAGAGAAAAGCTAACCATAAAGAAGTACTTGAAGGTAGAGGAGAATCATTTGTAGCTGAATTATGCCAATACTGATGGGAATATATTTTGAAAAATTGTCCCTCCTGTCTTACACCTTCTATCTTGTAATCATAGAATGGATTGTCTTGAAAGGGACCTTTAAAGGTCCAAACCTCCCCCTACCATGAGTGGGCATCTTTCACTTGATCAGGCTGCTCAAAGCCCTGTCCTACTTGACTTTGAACATGTCTCTGTCCTGAGCCAATAGGTTTTTATTTAATATTATTGTCATAGCTGAAGCTGGGCTCAGTTGCTATGATAGGACAAATTCAGCTTTGAGTTACTGCTTAGTTGTCTTACAGTATGAATTCATAGCCATGGTGTAATTTGCTCAGTGAGCTCATAACTGAGGGAAGGATAATCCTCTAATTGAAATATATAATTTTTTTCTTCTCTATTCATTAAGTTCTGTAAATGTTTGTTTATCTCAGCATAGGCTTTTTGCACCCGGTTAAAGAGTTTTGAATGAAAACAAAATCAAACCATTTATGAATTCTCTAGTTCCTTCCTTTGCATCAACCTTGAAGATTTCAAATTACTATAATGCATATTGTACTCTATTACCAACAGTGATAGTCAAAGTCGCTTAGGAACCTTTAACAGTCAACTTCAGGGCCAAGTAGGCTCTCCCCCAGCAAGGGGTGAAATGTAGGATATTTTGTTTGTTCTTGTATTTCATTTGTTGTTTGTTTTTAAAAGTGGATCAGCTTGGTATTGTCTTCATACAGGTGGTGTTGGTTCTGGCTTAGTGCAGAAAGATTTGTCTTTTTTTTTGTCTTTTTTTTTGGTCTTTTTTTTTTCCTCCCTTGTGTGCATAATGTATTTACTGTGTTGAAAATCATAGTAATTGCCATTAGGGATCAAAAAGGAGACCTTGTATTGGCAAGGCTGGAGTGGAGCAGGAAAGGAGAACTGTAGAGTAATTTTTAATTTGGGGCTGGAGAGATTTGTGTAAGGATCAGCCTAGAATTAAGATCAGCAAGGAGAGAAAGAAAAAGCTTTGAGCTACAGTTGTAGTGTGACTGGAAAGGGACTGCAGAAGTATAGACTGTAAGACAATGTATTTCCTGTTTTCCAAGGCTCTTGAGTCTGTATTTTCCAGATTGGATGCACATTTCTTGTAGGCCTTTACCTTAGGTATTTTTGCATGAATCATTGCAGTTCTACAGTATTAAATCTAAATATATGGTCTCATATTTCTCTTCTCACTGCGGTTTCTGTTTCATTTAGATTTCAAAGTGAATGATGTTCAGTTAACAAGTTCCTATTCAGTATGATGTCTTTGGCTCATATTTTGGTATCCTTGATATTAGGCAGTATGAATTTGAGCCAGGCATGCAAGCTTGGGCATGTCAGACTTTCAGGACTATATAACATTTGTCTCACTCCATCAAGGGGTTTTTTTTTTTTTTTTTTTTGCATGTTTTTTAGTCCTTCTCAGTTTACTTGCTTGGTACTTTTGTTCCTATTTGATCAACCTGAGAAATAAAAATATTAAAGTTTCATTGTCTGTTACGCTTAATTCCATTGTTTTAGTATCATCAATAAGGAAAAAATCTATATAATATATATTAAGAAAATGTTATTTTAAATATAACCAAAGAATGGTAAAGTCCAAATACAGAAATTAGTTTTAGTGTTGAATAATGGTAGTTCAGTGTCTCTTTGTATTGGTTAAGCAGCTTTATTCTTTGTTTGGCATGAATATGGCTATCAATTTTGATTCAGAAGGGAAAAATGCTGCTTTCCCTACTAAAATGCAAAAGGTTTTGAGAACTTCCACATCCATCACTGCACTTATATAAAATGTGTAAACTTTAATACTATGTAGGGTAGTACTTCTGAGTATTTTGTAGTAGCTTACAGGTATTCACAGTTCTGAAATTAACAACTTTTTGTTATGAGTATGAGGCTTCCAAAAGTGTATAGTTTTAGTACCAGTAGAAAAACTGTCTCTAATTCCCTTTGCTTAGAGTTAAGAAACCATGTGAAAACTGCCTTTCAAAGCAGTCCCTTACTTTGTTTGAAGCAATAAGTAAAAAAATTAATTCTGTGTGCTTCTCACTTTACCCTGATGGGTACCCAAATGGGCATTTCACCCCTTTTCTCCCTTTAAAAAATTAAATAAAAATATAAGGCCTTTCTAGAACTATATGTCTTGCAGATCATAGAATCATAGAATAGTTAGGATTGGAAAATCATAGAATAGTTAGGCTTGGAAAGGACCTTAAGATCATCTAGTTCCAACCCCCCTGCCATGGGCAGGGACACCTCACACTAAACAATCTCACCCAAGGCCTCGTCCAACCTGGCCTTGAACACTGCCAGGGATGGAGCATTCACAACCTCCCTGGGCAACCTATTCCAGTGCCTCACCACCCTAACAGGAAAGAATTTCCTTCTTATATCCAGTCTAAACTTCCTCTGTTTAAGTTTGAACGCGTTACCCCTTGTCCTGTCACTACAGCCCTGATGAGTCCTTCTCCAGCATCCTTGTAGGCCCCCTTCAGATACTGGAAGGCTGCTCTGAGGTCTCCACGCAGCCTTCTCTTCTCCAGGCTGAACAGCCCCAACTTCCTCAGCCCGTCTTCATACAGGAGGTGCTCCAGTCCCCTGATCATCCTCGTGGCCCTCCTCTGGACTTGTTCCAACAGTTCCATGTCCTTTTTATGTTGAGGACACCAGAACTGCACACAGTACTCCAAGTGAGGTCTCCCGAGAGCAGAGGAGCAGGATCACCTCCTTTGACCTGCTGGTCATGCTCCTTTTGATGCAGCCCAGGATATGGTTGGCTTTCTGGGCTGCAAGCGCACACTGTCGGCTCATGTTCATTTTCTCATCAACCAACACCCCCAAGTCCTTCTCTGCAGGGCTGCTCTGAATCTCTTCTCTTCCCAACCTGTAGCTGTGCCTGGGATTGCTCCGACACAGGTGTAGGACCTTGCACTTGTCATGGTTAAACTTCATAAGGTTGTCATCCGCCCACCTCACAAGCGTGTCGATGTCCCTCTGGATGGCATTCCTTCCCTCGAGCGTATCAACCGAAGCACACAGCTTGGTGTCATCGGCAAACTTGCTGAGGGTGCACTCAATCCCACTGTCCATGTCGGTGCTTCATCATGCTGAAGGTGATCAGATAGTAGCTCTTTTGGGGAATTTACTTGAGAAATTTTAATCCCCTGTGAACAGTTGCTGGTAAAGAAGCCCTTTTAAGACAAAGGTAGATAGCAGTTTTAATGGCAGTTGAGACAATTGATATGCAGGGACAAAAAGGTCATGACTGATTATCTCTAACCTCTTAGATCTTTTTTATATATATGAGTCCTTTCATACTCACTGTTCACAGCAATGCTCGAGTCTATTAGTGAAAGCTGCTGATTAGATAACGCAGTTAGCACAGAAAACTTTAGCTGAATTCTTAACTGTGCAGTAACAGCTTTTATTTTCATGGGACTACAACTCAGATATTAAACAAGTACTTTTCTACCAGGTACCCCTTCTTGTGTTTGTGCTATACCTCCATTTGGTGTTTTGCTATCCTCTTAAATAGAAGATAGGAACATTGTTGAAATTGAGAATTCACTCTAAATGTTGCAATTGCAATACTTAAGCTAAATATATTAATTTGGCTTCACTGAGAGTGTTGCCCTAAAGTTCCTGAAAATGGGTAACATTTTGCTATGTGTATCTTGTGCAGACACAGAAATGTCTGCTGAAAGCTCTCTTTTTTTGAGCTAAAACTTATATTTGAACATGTTCTTTCCACTGAAAGGCTCTTTATCTTTTTGAGACTTCACAAATGTTTGCCAGATTTCTTTTTTAAAACCGGAAAAATCAAGGTTGCTCATGTGAATCAGTTGTAAACTTTTATAACAGTGCTATTGACCTGGTGGTTAATTTGACAGTGTTTTAATGAAACAAAAGTTTACAGTTGTCAGTTACTTGGCATACTTGCTTTGATTACCAGCTTGATATATGTAGGCTTGCTGTGTGGCAGTTCAGCTTGACACTAACGACTGACCTTTTCAGTTTTGAATTGCCTAACATTTCTGCTACTTGAAGGCTGCGTGTATAAAAGGCCTCCATATACCGATTTTTTTTATTTTTATTTTTATTTTCAGTGAAAGCTCTGTGTATCTACTTTTTTTTTTTTTAAACCTAACTATATCTTCCCTTTTACCTTTTATAAAATCCA